AACATGTGGACGATGTGTTTGTTCGTCTAGAGTGTACTCTTTGTCAGATGAGATTGTAAAATCGTGAATTAATTATGAGGGAAGTAAATCCAAACATTAGCTCCAGTTGCAACAATATGACTAAACATAAAATTTAACTTCTCTTCCAATTCTGATATTATTCCATTGTAATGAAACTTCTTCGCATTTGGCATAACCTAAAGTACAATAAATGATTAATTAGAAATCATGTGTTATGTTACTGCTGAGTTGATTTAAATTTAAAAGATGAAGTGAATGATTTAGAATTAGAGAGATATCTCTAATTTTTCATTCCACCAATCATTAGAAGTATCTATAGTTTTTTTATTAGATTCCATCCAATTCTGATCTCGCCTCGCATCAAATCTTTTCATAGTTTCTAATTCTTCTTTAATTGGTCCCACTTATTTTTTAGCTGAGTTCGAACATATGTTCTTCCTCATTAAAATGTTTAAGTAGGTTTTTCCAGCCTTAGTAAAATATGTAGTTGGTCTATTCCCTAATACCATTTCTTTTATACATATATCACAATATATTAAAATAGTATCAATGCCCCACATTACAGTTGTGCATCCTTTTTTTTAGTTTTCCATATATATGTTACAAAAAATAATAATAATAATATAGTAAGATGTTAGTAATATACGAGGCACTTATATAATTACAGAAAAAATAGCATAATAAATTTTATATAATCAGAAAGGTATGACGATTTTTGTTTATGAATAATCATGTTAAAGTATCAGCTTCTATCAGACATTTATATTGTGCCGCTTTCAACATATTTCATGGATCAAATACAAATTAACAACATGTACAACAGTAGAAGAACCTCTTAAAAGATACATGCATACCAAATTGAATGAAACTCTTTATGATTTTTTAGATGTTTTTAATGATATGTTGTGTAAGTTGTGATTTGGGTTCATTAGCAGCAGGACAAACCAAAAAAGTCACAAATTGGCAATGAAGAAGAAGAAGGAGAAGCATAAAATACCTAGGGCACAATATAAGGAACAACTGAAGCAAGTTAAGTGGATATAGTTACCGATCAGATGGATGTTGAATATGCTTTTGTGAGGAACAGTGGGGATGTTAGATGGCAGCTGGGAGGTCGGGTCGACGGTTGGGAAAAGCACAGGCTGACGGTGCTTGGACGAGCTGGCGTCGGGACGGACTTGGGTGAACAAATCGACATCATGTCCGACCCGACGCTAGGGTGGTTGTTGGCTGTCATGGTCAACTCGCAGGAGAGGAGCAGAGTTCAGACCTAGTATGCAAAATAGAGGAGATGCTGGAGACCTGCGAATGGAGCAAACTCAAAAATAACGAAGGTTATTTGTCGTGCGTGATGCTGAAGAAGAAGAAGGCCGGTAAGGTGTGTGTCATCGTGTGATCGTGATGAGTATTTTGGAAATTTGTCATTTGAAACTCTGATTCGTAACCAAATAAGCATATACGAAATAAATTTTCTAACCATCGAAATATGAGGTTTACTAAAACGGAATTATGAATAAGTTGTAATTCCAAACAGTTAACAAAAACTGATGTCGGCTTATACAAATGGAAAACGGAGAAATTCAGTATAATCAAATGAACCCTTTATAATTTAATCTGAGGCTTATGCCTCATTTCATAGAAATATATATCACTTCAATACCCAATTGCACAATTTCAAATTTTAGCTTGAAGATGATTCTATTTTAGAGTTTATTATATTCATATAACATGATGTTTATGCAACCTTTATTGAGCATTTAGCATGCATCACATGGTGTTATTTATGACTTAGCAATACGTGTTACCTATAGAGCTTTCTCATCAAAGTTATTCATGTTGTTTGTGACTCCAACTCATCTTATAAATTATTTACCAATCAAACTAATGTGGAGAGGGACTTTTTTATGTTAGTACCGTTTATTCAAAGATCTTAGTTAAGGGCAACAAAAATTGTTAAAAGATACAAAAAAATTCAAGCTGAAAAAATCGTGCGCACTCAGTTACATTTAAATAGAGCTCAAATTACTATTGGCTTTTGATTTGGTGTTATTAATCGATTTGATTTGATTAAGGTTTAAGGTTTTTGAAAATGATTGAAACCAAACACACTAAGCTATCCATGATGTATCTACCCATCAAATTGAAAACAAAATAAAAGATTGATCTCACACCTCATGATTAATGAGCTTAATAAACTCCATTTTTTTTTTTAATTATGGTCATAGTGTGAACCAAACTAAAACAAAATATATTGATTAAAACCACCTTAGACCAAATCAATCCAAGTCAAAACTTAAACTTTAGTTTCCAACTCTAAGCCAAATGGTGAAGTGAATGGAATCATTTGGTTCACTGTTTACCCTCGGTTGATGTAATTATAGATTAAACTTTATTATGTGTTCAGCTTGATTGAATTGCTAATAGTTGTTGAAAATGAATCAAATTATATTAGGTCCACCAATTGGGTACTCTAGTTTGTTTGCTTGTTTATTACTTGATATGTTCTGTTTGATTTCTATATTTTTGTGTATGCATATGCACAAAACACATAAAAGCATTCATTCACCATAAATTTATGTAGTATATGTATATTTACAAAATATAATTAAACTTTTATCAAGCCAAACACAATTGGAATAGAAATAAGATTGCAAAACAAATCAATTTCAAGATAATTATCAAACTAAAAATTAATTACGAACCACCTGTAGTATTCTATCAATCCTAAGAATCCCCTCAGCTCCTTCAAATTCTTAGGTAATGATCATCTCAACATAGCCTCAATTTTTTATTGATCAGCTATCACCCCCTCTTTGGACACAATATGACCCAAATACACCACACTGGTTTGGCAAAAAAATAATTCTTCATGTTGGCTCTCAACTGATGTTCCGCAGCACCCCTAACACCCTCCTCAAGTGCTCCCAATGTTCCTCCTATGTCTTGCTATAAACTAGGATGCCATCAAAGAACACCAAAACAAATCGCCTAAGATAAGGCCAAAAGACCTTGTCCATGAGTGACTGGAATGTCGTTGGAGCGTTAGGGAGGCCAAAAAACACCACCAGGAACTCATAATGCCCCTCGTGAGTCCTAAAAGCAGTTTTTGGCACATCTTACTTCTTCATTCTGATCTGATGATATCCTGATTTCATATCTATCTTGGTGAACATTATTGCTTCACTGAGTTCATCCAACAGTTCATCAATCACTAATACAGGAAACTTATCTAGCACAGTTTTCTTGTTGATCGCCCTGTAGTCCACACAAAACCTCTAGCTGGCATCTTTTTTCTTCACCGGTAACACTGGACTAAAAAAAGGATTGATATTGGGTCTAATAATTCCTGCCTACTACATCTCTCTATTCAACTTCTCAATCTCATCATTATGAAATTGAGAATATCTGTAGGGCCTAACGCTGATGGGTGACACACCTTCCCTCAAGATGATAGCGTGCTCCTTCTCCCTAGGTGGAGGCAATCCATGAGGCGATTTAAATACCTCCTAGAATTGCTGGATCAATGTCTGTATGGAGAGACATATGTCACCTCCCTCCTCCAATTTAACTCCATCCAATCTGTAGCTCCACCAAATAGCCTTCCCCTACTTCTTGGATATTCCTCACCATGGTTTTGAGTGATACCATGGCTTTGGATAGCCCTGCATCTCCTCTTATCAACACCTTTCTTACATCCACACTAAGCTCCATCGTGAGTGCTCCCCAATTGACCTTGGTGTCCGCCAAGGTCTGCAGACACTTCATCATCATGACGACAATTATACTTCCTAACTCCATTAGGAGAAATTCCTCCCTCACCTGAATCCCCTGGATGGTCAACACCACTCCTCTATAGATCATCTGGCCTTTCTCCACCTTTCTTGTACCCATCATCGCCCCATAATAATCAATGTCCACCAATTTCACTCTCAGTTAGTTGACAGCCTAAGTGGAAATGAAATTGTGGGTAGCCCCACTGTTAATTAGAACCACTACCTCTTTGTCCCCTATCTCCCCTTTCACCTATATGGTATGATTCGTGGTGAATCCTACCACCGAATTCAGGAAAACCTATGTCAGATCCAAATGCATTTTCTCCTCTATCTCCTCCTCTACTTTCCCCTCGCCTCCCTCTTCAGTTTTCTCGTCATCACAGATGATGAGAAACTGAAGAGTTTAGTCCCTACCCCTATGCCCTAGAGTATACCTCTCATCACACCTGAAACACAACCCATTTGCCCTCTTCTACTGCATCTCCTTTTCCGTCAGCCTCTTGAAATTTCCCCCGCTCCCTCCTACTGTCTTCTCCTTGGTGGTTTCACGAAATCCTCCAATTGCAGGACCCTTAGGTGCTAAGTGGGTGGTCGTCATCCAGTATATGCCTCCTGAGCTACTGATATTGCAGAGTAAACCCGGCTCTAAATCAACATAAGCGGGTTATCACAATACATAACCAGTCAAGGGGAGTTCGGATGCAAGATTTAGCCAGCGTTTAGGCTAACTGATGCAATTTTTTTTTTTTTTAAATCAACAAAAATTTTACTGTCTCTTTAAATCCAGTAATCCTCCCATTCTAAGCAAATCCTATATTTATTACATTCTGAGGAAAATAGGATCTAAGATATTTACATTTATTTTTACTCAGTGTGCATGTTCGTCTTCTGCATTTAAAACTTAAATTTTGAAAATATCTATCAAACAGTTCACTATAATTTAATCAGAATTAACAATTATCATGCCAAATAGTTTTCAACATTTAACACTTCCACTTCCAGGATTTGTTAAATCTAATTACAAGATTTACCAAATGCTGCCCGTAGCCAAACAGCCCCTTGACATAACTAGCATGTAATTCGCTTCAACGTAAATTCAGGAGTTAAAAAATTCACAAACTGAGAAAAAAAAAAAAAAAAAAAAAAAAAAAAAAAAAAAAACTGAAAGCACCCAATTCTTAGCAATAGAAAGATTGAGGAACGAACCAATCACAGAATGGGGCCTACTCTCACTTCCGGTATTCTGAGAAGCAGCGGATGCGAGCACCAAAGAAAGCTTTGGCCTCAGCAAGGCGAGACTAGCGGAAGAGACGATGTCACCAAGGCGTTCCGGGATGGAACTCCGAAAATCGACGATCTTTTGAGCCATCTCCTTCACCTCCCTCTCAAGAGCCTCGATCTGCATCTCATCCTCATCCTCATCCTTATTTGCCACATCTTTGCCGCTCTCCACCTCCAAACTTGACCTCTTAGCCAGATTTGTTAGGGTTTCTTTCAGCTCGTGGGTCGCCATTTAAATTTTAAACCCCTCCTCCACGGAGAGAGAGAGCGCGCGCGCCTGCTTAGGATTCTCGAAATTTTTTGCAGGCTTCGTTAGTCCAAATCCATATACGATGTCCGCGAAAATAAATACTTGACATTTGAACATGCGAGAAATCGATTAGGACACATAACTATCACTTGTGAGCCATGGCCTTATTCACATTAACAGTTAAAATGCATCACTTTAATCTTGGTTGGAAATTTTTACTATCAATATAAGATTTTATCCAAATTTAATGCATATTTATCTTAATTGAATGCAAAATTTTCAAAAAAATTACCAATTAAATAGTTTGAGCGTCTTCCTAATAATTTTAATGGTCACTTCAAGGTTGTAAATTTTTTTGGTGACTTTTGAGCCTCAAATTCATGCAAACATCACATACTTAAACTTTAAATTTAAAATATTTTGATTGATAGTTAAAACTCTGAACCAACATAATAAGATAAGCTGTGTGGGTTATAAGTTTTAGTAAGTATATGTGAATTTATATGAATATTATGTTTTGGTATTCAATATTTAAAAAATATGTTGGACTCCCATTTTATTTTATTATGTAATATATTTTTTTATATATTCACTCTTTATTCAAGATTTAAAAGTAATAGTTTTGTGCTCAATTTCAATATATTTTATGTTGCATTGACATCTTTTGCCTTCATACACTTCTGAAGGTTTTCTTCTTTCAGGGGCAATTTGGTTGGAGGAAAAGTGAATACAAAGTATAGTAAATACATTATTTGTTTTTTTCTTTTTATTAAAGTATAGTAAATACATTATTTGTTTTTTTCTTTTTATTGTTTGGTTGGACATAATATAAAATAAAGTAAAATCATAAAGAATTCAAAACTCCCTACTAAAAGTCATTTTAAGCATAAGATAAAATCACTCTTTTTGAGCAAAAAAGAAAATCACGCAGGTGAGAGAAAAGCCAACGTGGAACCATTTTTGTTTCTTCCTCATGCGGCGGAAACCATCGACATTTATTCCTCCCATGTTGAACTTCGATGCTTCGCATGAGATAGTTTTGTACCAGTACGTAGCTTCTTCAGCTCACTTTGGTGCTTCGCGTGAGGAAGTGTTTGCATGAGCAGCAAGTCTATCGAGCAAGTTTCGAATTACATTGCTTTTTTTTTTGTAATCCCACTACTAAAAATTTGATGTTTCAACAGCAGAATAATAACAGCGGTTTTAAAACCGCTACTATAGCAGGGTATACGCTGCCAAATTTTCATCAAATCACGGGCATAGCGGTTTTAAAACAACAATTTTAACCTAGCTTTCCTTCGCCTCCTCACGCACGCAAGCAAACCAAAGACCCCCACTGCCGTAGCCGAACTCGTCGCCATACCCAGCCCTAGCCGAACCCTTTGCTTCCTCCTTACCCTATCTTCAGCTCCATCGTTGTTGCTCGACTTTGATTAAAAGAAAAGTACATATTTTGCTCTTCATCTTCGATTTCTGCATCATATTTTGATTTTCATCTTCTCTATTTCGTCGTTGTTGTTTTGACTTTGTTGCATGGCATGAGGTAGAGTTTTGCATAAGCCACTTCTTCAGTTCCATCTTTGGTATTCGACTTCATTGCAACTTCCGTCGATGACGTTCCTTTTCTGTTCGATCGGAAGTCACTGACATTTTTATCAGAACTAATATTGTGATTTTGGAGAGGAATCGGCATCAATTTTTTGGAAAGGAATCGTCATCAAATCGGATGCAAGATGTGTGTTTATCTACATTCATAGATATAAGAATAATATAGAGAGGAATAGGTTGGAAAAAAGTAGATATCGAACGAGATATTTTAGGAAAGGTGCTCTGCTAGGGTTTCCCCTCTGCGTCGCCGCCTCCTGAAGATTTTCCTCGTTCTCCTCCTCCGGCGAGGCCGGAGGACCCCTTCGCCATGGATACATCCTTTAGTAAGTCGGATTTCCCTCCTCTAGGCCCGGCTTCTGAAGGTCTTTCGTCTTCTCTCCCGAGAAACTGGAGCAAGATCTTTGCTCCAGACAATAACTATTTTTATTTAGTGAGAGATATAGAGGAAATTAACATATTAAGACTTCGTTTCGGATAACTTTTTTACTATTTTTTAAATCAGCTTTTAGTACAAAAATTTTAATTTATATTTATGTTGGAGCAAATATACTCATTGTTTAGATTTATGTTGAAGATATTCTTTTTGGATCCATAAATGATGATTTATGCAATAAATTTTCTTCTACTATGAGTTCTGAATTCGAGACGACTATAATGGAAGAATTAACTTATTTGCTTAGATTTAGTGTTAAGCAAATACATGATGAAATCTTCATAAGCCAAACTAAATATATTAAAGAAATTATGAAAAAAATTTTATATGGAAGGTTACAAAAGCATTAATGCACCAATGAGCCCGACTACTCGATTAAATAAAGATCGGGACAAAGTATTAGTAGATCAAAAGAAGTTTAGAGAATTATATGATCCTTATTTTACCTAAGAAATCTCATATGACTGCCATTAAAAGAATATTAAGGTATCTCATAAGAACTCAAACTTAGTTATCTAATATCCTAAGAATAATTTAATATTTGACCTAATTGGACAATCATATTTAGACTTTGCTAAATGCAGAGCAAATAGGAAAGCACCACATGAACATGCTAGTTCGTATGACAATCATTAGTTTAATGGTCAAGTAACAAATAAAATTTCATAGCTATTTCCATTGTAGAGGTTGAGTACTTAGCTGTAGGAAGTTATTATCATGCCCTAGAATTTAAATTGGAAGAATTCTTTTAATTTTATCTTTTAATATAACAACATCAAAAATATCTATTTTCTTTTATCTATAATAATATCAATAGAAATAAATATAGTAATCAAAACTCAATATAAATATCCTAAGAATAATTTAATATTTGACCTAATTGGACAATCATATTTAGACTTTGCTAGATGCAGAGCAAATAGGAAAGCACCACATGAACATGCTAGTTCATATGAAAATCATTAGTTTAATGGTCAAGTAAAAAATAAAATTTCATAGCTATTTCCATTGGAGAGGCTGAGTACTTAGCTGTATAGAATTTAAATTGGAAGAATTCTTTTATTTTTATCTTTTAATATAACAACATCAATAATATCTATTTTCTTTTATCTATAATAATATCAATAGAAATAAATATAGTAATCAAAACTCAATATAGAACTATATTCATTGCTAAAAAACTCATATATTTTACTTATGAATCATATAAATATAACACATCATCCAATCCTAAGTACAAAAGAATAATTAAAATAAAAGAAGCAAAACCTGATGAGTCCTAATCAATCTTACACTCTCGATTCTCTATCATGACATGAAATTTTTTAAATTATATAATATGAGCTAAAGAGTCCAACATGTCACTAAATCATATAATTGACTTAATGCATGGTAAAAAAGTAGTATGCATATTATTAGTTAATTCATAAAAATAATAGTTATATGATCATAAATTTGTTTAGAAATAATAAAACTCACATGCACTAGTAATAAAATCTATGAAATAATAGAGCAAACTGATACAAAAGACAATAAAATAGTGCAATAAAAATAGTATAATCGATAAACTAATAAACTAATAAATCCGTAGATTAGTAAATCAATACAGAGGAAGAATCTATTACATTTCGGTAGTTCAATCTTATATTTTGATGACTACTAATATTATTGAACAATTATTTAGTTTATCCTACTTTATGTACTGCATATTTTTCAGTACGCATTACGGATATTTCAGGTTGAACATACATAAAGCTTTATCAAAGAATCAGAACTCAAGAAAGAGTTGTATAGGTTAGACTGTTGACCTCTTTTTTGTATGAGGTCACTAGGACCAATCTAGTCCCTAAATTAATCCAGATCCTAAGATCCACCTAGACCCTAGAGCTATCCAGACCATAGGATCTATTTAGGTCCTAGAGCTAACCAGATCCTAAGATCTATACAGATCTTAGATCAATCCAAATTCAAGTTAATCCAGACCTCAAATAAATTTAAATTTCAAATCTTTCTAGGTTTTAAACTTATGCAAATCTCAATCCCAATTTATCTTTTGATCCGGCTTCTTATCAAACTCCAGTCCTATCTAATCATTTACAATCATTCAAATAATTGTCATTGATTTAAATAATCTAAAATCAAGCAATCAAATTTAAAATCCAGCTCAAATATAGAAATTCATACCAAAATCTAAGGTTCAAAGGCTCTATCATGAAAGCCTTTTCCTGTTATTTTTTAAATACTTTAAAACCTAGTTGAATGACCCCCGATTCACGATCTATCAATCACATATTAATTAGATATGTCCCTAGGGTCTACAATCCAAATGTGAGCTCATTCTTAGACCTCTAACCCTAGAAACTAGATATAAATTCAAATATTGTAAAACCTTCAAATATTTATGGCATAAGTCTAAGCCTAAGCCACTAGACCTGTCCCTTAGTGGAACACAACCTTAGAGCTTTCCCAAAAGCTTCTAATCACTTCTAAACCCTTGATTACGTATTAATAAATATTAAATTGTATTTTGGTGGACCCACTTTGAACCCCAGTTCACTAGGGGTCAAAATGACTAAAATATCCCATAGGGATGTGAACAATCATTTTGAACCAAATGATATCCAAATTGCATAAGATCACTTCCATCAAATTTTAAGTATCAAACCAAACCTGTTGGACCCAAAACTTGACCCTGGGTCAACATGGTTGACCAAGTCAATCTATGTTGACCAAATAGGCCCTTAATGGTCAAAACAATCAATTTGATTGAATTGACCGCCCCAGACCTTGGGACCACTTCCAACAGACTTCAAATATCAAACCAAATCTGTTGGGCCTAAATTCAAGCCCTGGGTCAACCTAGTTGACCAAGTCAATCTAAATTAATCAAATAAGCCCTTTAAGGTCCAAATAGTCAATTTGACTAAAATGATTTCTCTAGACCTTAGGACCACCTCCAACAGTCTCAGAATATCATTTCAAGTCTATTAAACCCAATCTCAGACCCTGGGTCAACTCAACTCTTAAGCCTATTTACATCCAATAAAGTTATAGATCAATTCCAAATCCTCTTAAACTCACCTAATC